TGTCAAGAAGACCTTGCATAAGCCTGCATGAGTAAAGAAGCAATTAATAACCTACATGAACCCTAAGCATGATGGAGTTAGAGTTTCACATCTTGTGAAAAAATTGAGAGGGTAATTATGCATGTCCTGTCTCATTGAAGGGTTGTCGCTATTATTCATGCGTTGAAGAGAGCTACCAAATCAGATAATGAATGTGAAGGTTTTCTCAGATGTGAAGGAGATTATCCATCTTATTACAAGGAAAAGCTCTCCATGGCAAATTCTGGTTTGTACTGGTTACCAGAAGAGTATAACACCATTGTGGACAAGGTTGTTCAAATAAAGGGTAGCAAGACATCATGTGATCAGTTTCTACCAAAAAAACAAGGCCATTCATATGATACTTATTGCAAATATCAGAGTTAGACTTCTATATGGTAGTGCTTCAGAGGGTTGCTTCATGTAAAACTCTGATCAAGTTGCAGATATCATTATCAGCAACACTACTCTGTTATCTTTGATTAAGTTTTAATCTATGGCTCCTATGTAGATGCAAGAATAAAGCTGATCAGTCATAACTAAACAATGTTGTACAGTCATCTTGAACTTAGCCTCTCATGGGCACATATGAGGTTTCTTGAATTTACTAATGCTAAATCTTCATCAAGACAGCCATCTTACATACTGATTCTAACAAAAATATGGATATTTCTGGTGTTTTGATTTTATCAAACAGAAAAAAACTTCAGTGTCAAGAACTTACAGGTTTCCGGGTTTTTCCACTGCTGACAATGGAAGCAAGCTAAATGGCTTTGTATAAACCTGAAAAGTAGATTTGGGAAGATACATAAACATGTTGGCTAACAGAAATCAAGTTGGTATCAGCAGCAAATAGAAGCATGACAAGAACCAAAAAAGTAACAAAATTTTACCTTGAAGCCATGGAAGAAATGTGCAAGACAACTATGCAAACATAATATTTGCATATTTGCGTAGTAAGAGGTACACTAAATTCATTTGGTTGACTATGTCGAGGTCATTCAAAAAGTAAGAGGTCTTTGAAATGTCCAGCCGGTCTAAGTTCCCTGCTCAATTTGTTTCTAGTGAGATTGCAACTTGTTACTTAAGCCTTGAGAAATATTTCCCCCTGCCCCTTCGAAGGTTCCTCCCACGCCAAGCTAAGCAGACACTATGTACCTATCCCTTGACATAATGGTGTCTGTACAGTACATTTTAATTAACAATGCAAATACTAAGTAAGTTCTTGATTAAGTCTGCATGGATGACTCAATTACATTGAGAACGTAGTTATTTGTTTGCACTTCAATCTGATTACAAGTCAGAAGAATCTAAGGGTTACAATATTTTAGGTCCATGACCCATAAGTTCTAGCATAAAGCACAAGTAACCAAGATAAGCTTCAAATGCACCTTGTGCTTTCTTTTCAAATCAATGATAAACAGTTCCACATTAAGACCATAGATGCATTTCTTAGTTTCTTTCTTTACCTCAAGGGTAACTCTCAAATTCACATCGACAATCAAGCATGGCTCCGAATTTTTAGCCTCCCACTTTATATAGTTTTTCATAAATGCTGCAAGAAGAGAAGAAATAATAAGAAGTATCATGATGTAGTGGGTGCAAAACATATCTGCAGTTTCTAACCTTCATGAGTACTTGGTGATGAAAATACTGGAGTCTGAACACAGTGGCATTTTTTTTTTGTTAAGCATGGACTAAAAAATCTGATACTGTTAACTGGAGTAGGTATGAACAACAACAACAACACATCCATGTTGCAAATTTATGTGTTTATGTGAAAGAATTTCCACAAACAAATACCAGAAATATGACTAGTTATTTTCCAGCAAGCACTGTTGTACTAGAGCTTGGAAGTACAAATATGAGTCACTTTTAAAGCATAGACAATTATGTAAAAACTTTCATATACATAACTAATAAAGAAGCATCTATATAAAATATCTAAACATACCCGAGAAAAGTTGATTTTGCTTTTCAACTGCTTTTGAACCCTCAAACTGTTAAATGTAAAACAATGATCAAAATTCAGATGAGGACTCAAAATCACAAGTATATAAACAGTCAAGGACTTGTGAAGTTCATAGCCAACATATGATCTGATAAAGAATGATCTTCGATACACCAAACAGAGAGAAATTATTAGTGTATAAAAGCCTTCCTAGAATCAAACTATTTATCGTTTGTTATTTACTATTTTAGAAAAGTTGTTCATCCTAATCCAAATTTCTTGTTCTACACAATGTCTCGTGAGAAACATTCTCAACTGATTATCAGATACACATTTTTTCTGTTTGGATTAAATTCAGAAAAACTACTTAAGTTACATCTTGGAAGAACTCAAAAGCAAAACAAACGACTAAAGCAATTTGGCACAACATGAAAGAGAATCACAAAAAAGGCACTTATTTGCCATAACTTTGCAAAAATCATCTGAATTGTAATGGGTAGATTTAATAAAAATATAGATTTCTCATGACAACTTCTGAGTTGATAAAGATCAATTGACTTCGAACATTTTGTATCAGTATGATAAACATGTGAAACTATAAACAGCCACAAGTATGCATGAACAACTTGTTTAAATCTAGAAACCACTGCCAATGATTGATCTCATTCTCAGATCCAGCAACATGGAACTTACCCTGCAGGACAACATCTCAACTGTGCAATCTTCATCTGTTCGGGTCACCCGCAAGTCCAACACTGGGGCAACTTCAAACTTGAGAAACTGAATTTTATGCAAAGTGCACCTACATATAGCATCACTTACCATATAAAGAGTATTTCACAAAGCGAAAACAGAGTAAAAACTATCAATGCCAGTCTTGAGAAGTAGCTGCTATTGATCGTGCAGCAAGCTCAGTGCATAATAAATTTTGCAAATTTAAACTAGGAGTCTAACAGGCTAAAATAGAAGTATAAACTCGAGAAAAAAAGAGAAAGAAGCATTCATGATGCGCACAACACAGTACAGGTAGGAAATATTCAGAGCTAGATTTCACATAACAATTAGTGCCTTGATCATTGGTGGTGGTTGCAAGATGCAATTTTTAGTGCTTGAAACTGGAATTCCATGATACACAAGTAAGGTCATGGGGCAACCTATATGTATTGGAGTCCAGTGGCTCAAATCTTTGCAAGGCTCTGGTATTTAGAAGAGCCTCGACGCCAGTTGGATGGCTGAGGAACTCACTCACAGGGAAGACCCTGCCACTGCCATCCGAATACTCGGGGAGCTTAACCATTTCCTTGCGCTTCGCCCACAGGTTCGCTTTCCTGCGGCCAGCTCCCGGCTCCTCGACTGTGGCTGACGCTATTACTGCTTCAGATCTCCTCCTGCAACGCATGCAATTCATTTATGAGCCCCCATGGAAGTATCTGTCTGAAGCGGCAGCCCTTTGTATATGCTAAAGCAGCTGCTTGAAGCTTTTCGACTACTCTACATGTTGTTACTCTATCCCACTCTTGGATGGAGATCAATAGACAAAGACGAGAGACATAACCTGAGGTTGCATGGGGGTAGGGCAGAAGGCGAAGGAAGCGTGTGGATAACCATTCTGCATCTGGTCTGAAGGGAAAGCAGCAGCTCTAAGAGAGGCCTGAGTTCATGGAGGAGACAGGAGACGGAGGTGAGGGAGATGGTGATAGATTGGGAGAACAGCAGCGGTGGCGGAGATGTGGCTCTGCAGGGCAAGGACCAACCGGAAGGTCGACATCTCGGTTCGACCCAAATAACTCCCTCTCGACCACATTGGGTCCAACTACATCCGGTGAAGGGGGAGTGTTGGTTCGTATCGGATCCTGTTATCAGACGCGACATTATTTGACTTGTGCTCGCTGCGTACCGACACGCTGGAAGGCTTGTGGCTTATCGGAAGGAGTGGGAATGTTCCGGAATGATCCTGAGCCAATTAAACTCGGTCATCCTCGTTATCTTAGTCCATGATTGAGTCAGCCCAACTTAATTTGAAGTCGAAGGGTGTAGAAACCCTCGTGGTAGCTTTAACATGGATGAGACGGCTCCGAGATAATCTTCATGTAGTCTCGATCATTTCAAGATGATCTTGAGGTCGGGCCGATGTCGATTCCAACTTACTGGTGAGTCCCTGTATGAAGGTCAAGATGATCTTGAGGTCGGGCCGATGTAGTTTTCAAGATGATCTTGAGGTCGGTGAGTCCCTACATGAAGGTCTAAGTGTTTCTCGATAAGATCCCTTAGATGCAAGTTAACTCTAGAATGATTTTATAATATAAGAGGGTTATTTGTAAAGAGATCCGACCCTAGTGTTAAGAGTCGATTTTTATATCTATTCAACTAAAGGAATCAGTTATAACGATCGTAATGTTTTCCTATGCGTGGCGAAAAAATAGAAAACAAAATCCTAGAATTCCTGTAGAAAAAGAATTTTTATCGTCGTGCAAAAGTTGACTACCATATCATCCACATATGCTTTCATGTCCCTTCTGACTTAGTACTTGAATATCTTATTCAACATTCTTCAGTATATTGTCCCCATGTTCTTTAGTCCGAAGAGCACGTCTTTATAGCAATATACACGTAGTGAGTAATGAAAAGAGGTTTGTTCCTGATCATGGGGTGTCATCCCAATCTAATTATAGCTTGAGAATACATTTATAAAGGTGAGGAGTTTATAACACAAGGTGGTGTTCACCAGTTGATCGATCCGAGAGAGGGGTAGTTGTCCTTTGGACAAGCTTTGTTAAGGTCCGTATAATCAATAAATTTCTTTAGTTTCCATTATATTTCTGGACTAGTATAACATTAGAGAGCCCTTGAAGATACTAGACTTCAACAATAAATTTTGCTCTTGACAATTTATCAATTTCATCATTGATCGCTTGCTAACGGTTGGAAGCAAATTGAGATCTCTGTTTCATAAGTCGGGTTTCAAGAGAGACATTTAAGTGATGTTGGCCTATATGTGGATCAACACGTGTCTTTTGGTGACCAAGTGAATACCTTTATATTTTTTATGAGGAAGTTAATAAGTTGTATGTGTTTCTCGTCAAGGAGCATTGTTCTGACTTTAATAATCTGGTCAAGTTGGGCCTTATCCAGTATTTCCTCGATCAACTATTCCACCGACTCCAAGTGTGATAAAGGTTTGCCAAAATCTCTAGGATTCATTGGCATTAAAATCGTCATCAAGGAACATTATCGGGACTCTCTCGAGTCGCTCTTTATCTCCCTGATGTTGACCCTAATCAGAAACTTCATTACCATGTAGTATGTGGATACCACATGGTAAACATCCTGGCCGAGGGAATATCATCTACTACGATGAACTTAGTTATTAGTGTCTTGGAGCAGGGTTGAATGTTACATGTAGGCTCACAATCTCGAGCGGGCAAAAGGAGTCACCCGTGAATCCCATTAACGAAAATGTTATTAGGAAGAGATCATTAGCCAACAATCTAAGTTTTTGAAAAGCATCAAAATAAAGTATATTGAGGAACTACTTTTGTCAATCATGACCCTTTCATCATCCTCGTTAAGACCACTAATGCATCGTTGTAGTTCAAGTTGTGGTACTCTGTTTCTTCGTCTTTGAAAGTGAATTTTGCACCTCTCTCTTAACTCCAGCATTTTTCGATAGTAGCTTGAGCATAGGCTTTCCGTCTCAAGGAGCTATCCTCTCCCGAGACCAGTCCACCGACGATGATATTAATTATTTTTCTACTAAGCCTTATGGGCGAGGCGAAGGCTCTCGATGTTTGCGGATAAGCCTCTTGAGATGTCCTTGACAAATGACCTCCTCAATTTGGTCCTTCAAATCATGACACTCCTTGATATCATAACTATAATCATAATGGAAATGGTAGTATTTCAATTTATCTCTCCTTTCTACAAGAGTCCTTATCAGTCATGTGATTTTTATAAACCTTTTCTTCCTTATTTGTAAGAAGATCTCGGTCCTCGTCATACTAAAGGGAATTGACCCGAACCTCGGGTGGGATATCTCGAGTTGACTATGTTTCCTCTACATTGAGTCAAAGGTCATCGCTTGAGGAGATTCTTGATGTTGACTCTTATGAATTTCTTTACGCTTACTTGAGATCATCACTTTTATGACTATGTACTGATTGGCCCTTTGAAGCATCTCGAGGATTATCAACAGTGACTCCGCCAATGACTAGAAAAAGTTGGTGGGCCTAAGACCCATTATAAAAGCCTGTATCACCAAAGAAAGGCAGGCGTTTTGTACGTCTCGAATTTTACTATAATAATATAAGAATATATCCATAAATTAATAGAGATAATTAGTAATTACGAAAGAAAAACATATTTAAGCACGTAATAAGAAGAAATATAAAAATTAATGGAGAAGATTAATAAGATAATAACATAGCAATTAGTGAAGTAATCATGACTAACCAATGCAGAATATCTTTATATGGAAAGAGATAGACAGAGATCAATCCAAAATTGAGGATCCAAAACTACAATAATAAATTAGAAAAATCACAATAAAAACAAATATATAAAGAGATCAACGCATCACAAAGTTTGAGAATATATAAAGAGATTAAAGATCCTTAACAAATTAGGGATCCAAACATAAATCAGAATAATCACGGTAAAAACAAACAAAAATAAATCGAAAAGAACGTATACTTCAGTGGATTGACTCTCTTCTTCTCCTTTGTATACTGGATGGAACGATTAATATAGAGATCGCAACTCGACTTGTAACATAGTACACTAGTAACTGTACATTCGGAGCAAATCGAACTCTCTGTGGGAAGAAATTAAATCTATCATTTCAGAAGGCTATCCTAAAGAGGAACACAGGTAAAAGCAGAGCGAAGGGCAAAAACAGTGATTGCCCTCTCTCTTGCGAGAAAAAAGAAAAAGAGGAGTATCATCCTCTCCCTCAAGGGGAGAGAGAGAGAGAGAGAGAGAGAGAGAGAGAAATAGGAATATATGTTCTGGTTCAAATTAGCCAATAGTGTTCTGGTCCATGCCTTCCTAAATCACAAGTAGTCTTAAGCTGGATCGTAGCATGAGGTGCTCTTCATATACTTTATATAGTTGGAGCTTCCTCAGAGCATGGATTCGAATCTCCGTGTAGTTTTTTACCATCAGCCATTTGATGCGCAATCCTGCATGACTCTGTCCATGGCTTGCTGGTGGTGACGGCTGCAGAGCACAAAAACACTTCCACTGATTCGTTTCTTCATCTGAGCTTGCAAGGATTCCATCCTGGGAAAGGAATCCGACGGAAGAGAAGAAGCTGAGATGAACAGCTCGGGTTGGTGTCCCCACACGGAGACCTTTCAGCTTTCGTTTTCCCTCCATCGCCATCCCTGGGCGTGATCTGCAGAAGAATACGTACCATTGGGGACACACTGCACCCCGCACTCTGCTCTCCTGTCAGACTCCCCTTTATTTTAATTGCCTCACATGCATGTAGATCTCTGCAAAGATGTAGATAAATACAAGTCGGTAGTGTCGTAAACCCGAGCAGTACACATGCAGAGCATGAGAGCTTGGAAAAATGGCATGAACAGAGAGGAAGATGCCATGGAAACCAAGGTATAATTAAGAGTCGGAAGTAAAAGCCGGGGAGGGTGAAAGAGAGGGAGCCGCGTGTTGAGTTGGATCCGACCCATCAAAAGACGCTGCGAACAGCTGTTGTCAGGCACCGACGGAATAAAGAAGGGCAGAAAGAGACATGGCGAGGCCCAGACTTAGCTGGAACTCTCGACTTCATCACTTCGATCGTACTGCTGCTAAAATGCATGTTAGCTGTACGTGATATCACATCTCTCCGGTGATGGATCCTTCACTGTAGCTGTCAAGGCTTACCTTGTGATCACCAAACACGATGGCACGGTGGTCACCAAGATTGGCTTCGTCGTCATCTCGACCAAACCTGGCCGCCGTCTGCTGTTAGTGAGCTTTGATTTCAAACAGCGACAACATTTGAGTGTATAAGCTATAATTTTAAGTCACTGACACGCAAGACAAGGCCGTGCATTTAATAATGCACGAGGTGGCCAAGAAGACAGAGAGAGAGAGAGAGAAAGAAAGCGGGGGACGCAAAGCAGACATCCCCATGCGAATCCCTCCCATCTGAGCCACCACCTTCATCGACTCCCTCTCTCTCTCTCTCTCTCTGTTTCCATCATCATCCATGTGACTTCGTCCTTTTTTTTCCCCTCTCTCTTTCTACCAATCTTTCTCTAAGAAAGCCAATCTTTCTCTGAGAGCTGAGATGGTTGGGGGAGATGAGATGGCCCCTGTCAAGCTGCTCGTCGGCGTGCTCTGCCTCGTCTTCTTGCTGTTCTCGGCTGCTGTTCCGGTGCTCGGGGTGAATGAGGAGGAGCAAGAGGCGATGGAGGGGAGCAGTGTGAGCTTGGCGGTGGACCCGAGCTTCCAGTTCCAGAACTCGAGGCTGAGAGACGCCTACATTGCGCTGCAGACATGGAAGCGCACCGCCATCTTCTCCGACCCGCAGAACCTGACGGGCAACTGGGTCGGCCCCGAGGTGTGTTCCTACTTCGGCGTCTACTGTGCCGCTTCTCCGGACGACCCCTACCTCACCGTCGTTGCTGGCATCGACCTGAACCATGCCGACCTCGCCGGGTACCTCCCGCGGGAGCTCGGCCTCCTCACCGACCTCGCCCTCTTCCACCTCAACTCCAACCGCTTCTGCGGCACTGTGCCCCCCACCTTCCGCCGCCTCCGCCTGCTCTACGAGTTGGACCTCAGCAACAACCGCTTCGTCGGCAAGTTCCCGGAGGTGGTGCTCCACCTGCCGGCCCTCCGCTACCTCGACCTCCGCTTCAACGACTTCGAGGGGCCCATCCCGCCGGCGCTCTTCGAGCGGCCCCTCGATGCCATCTTCCTCAACTCCAACCGCCTCCGCGCCGGCATCCCCGCCACCCTCGGCCACTCTCCGGTGTCCGTCCTCGTGCTCGCCAACAACGACCTCGGCGGGTGCATCCCCTCCTCCATTGGTGGCATGGCCAACACGCTCAACGAGATCATCCTCCTCAACGACAACCTCACCGGCTGCATCCCGACCGAGGTCGGGCTGCTCCGCCGCGTCACCGTTTTCGACGTCAGCTTCAACCGCCTTCAGGGCCCGCTGCCGGAGTCCATCGCCGGCATGGTGAGCGTCGAGCAGCTCGACGTTGCGCACAACCGCCTTACGGGGCGCATCCCCCCGGGCGTATGCGACCTCCCCAGGCTCCAGAACTTCACCTACTCATACAACTTCTTCACCGGCCAGCCGCCGTCCTGCGGCCGCGGCGGAAGGTCGGCGGTGTTCGACGGCAAGGCGAACTGTATCCCCGGCCAGCCGGACCAGCGGTCCCCCAAGCAGTGCTCCTCCGCGGTGGCCCAACCCTTCGATTGCCGCAAGTCCAAGTGCTGGAGTGGCGGCGTGCCATCCCCTTACCTCAAGCCACCGTCCCCGCGGCCGACTGCTCCTAGGAGATGGCCTGTATACAGTCCGCCGTCTCCGGTGGGGAACAAGCCCGGAAGGCACTACAAGCCAGCACCTCGTACGCCGCCGCCGCCGCCGCAGTACGAATCATCGCCTTCGACGAGATCTCACCCACCGCCGCCGTCATACTCGCCGAAGCAATCGCCGCCGCCGTCCTCTTCGGGCTACCATGCTTCCTCACCGCCACCTGCCCCTCCTGCGCACGACTATGAACCAGCAAAACCTCCCCACAGCCCATTGCCACCCACATTGGTCTCACCTCCTCCAACGCATCACTATCAAACGCCTACTCCTCCTGCTCCTGTTCAGCCTCCGACATATACCAACCCTCCGTATCATACTTCACCACCATCGCCGTTGTCACCTACAGAGTCGCCTCCGCCGCCGCCCCTCAAGTCACCATCGCCACTGCCGACACCAGTGCCTGCCTCCCCGCCGCCGTCGCAAAAGCCATGGCAAGCTCCACCACCACCGGTACACTCCTCACCGCAGCCATCACCCAAGTATGCTCCTCCCCCGTTCGAACATTTGTCGTCACCACCACCTCCTCCGACCGTGATGAAGCAATCTCCTCCGCCGTTGCTTCCACCTCCGGCAGAGCTGCCGCCGCCACCAGCACCGCCCAAGTGCCACGGGAAGGAGCATCCACCGCCGATACTGCCGCCCGTTGTAGGCGTGTCCTATGCTTCGCCACCACCGCCGGCGATACCGTACTACTGATCACGCGCGGCAAACTTGCTCTCTACCACTCCCCCTATCTCTTCCTTTATATTTCTTCTTGTTAATTGATCATTACAACTAAATATTCTTTTTGTTGTCGCTCTTGTTGGTCGCCCTTCGCTTATGCAATGCATCACGGCAAGTATTACTGCTCGGATGAGCCTCCTGGCTCTGTTTATTTCTCTGTTTGAGAGGATGAAGTGAACTACTCTTCCAAACTGCATGTTTGCTGTTGTTGTTGACACGGCACTTTTTTGAAGCTATTCATCTCTCTCTCCCTCTCTCTCTCTCTCCCCCACTGCTGAGCTGCTGCGTGGATCTCTTGTCGAAGAACGGTGGGTGATATCTAAACTCACTGTTTCGCGTATCAGCGTCCAATTAGCTTCCTTCCTTCCGAGTGTAACTCCCTCTGATCGAAACATCGTGTGGAGGCGATGCAGGTCTCCAGTATGAATCATTATTAGACGCAGCAGGGGGTGCGCAGTGGGAGGTGGGGCCGGTCGTCGGTGGAATACTCGTGTAGTGTCTCGAGGCCGTGGTCCGAGCGCACTGCTCTCCCTGCTCTGCAGTGAACGAAGAGCCATTATTGACTGCCATGAAGTGTAGTTGAGCAGCCACCCACCCGCACTCTGGCCCAACACAACTCAACTTGTTGACCAGCCTGTGGCCTTTCATCAAACACCTCTCCGGCATGTGATTCTTGACAGCTCGCTAGGAACTGGGGAACCATCAGATAGTTTAAGAGGATATCATCCTAAATCTGGTACGATAATTGATTGCTCTTCCATTTGAAGTGCAAGGGTTCCAGATGGTTTGTGGTGGGGTAAGAACTTGGTCTGGATCATGAACTGTTTGCTGAGGGTAAATCCAACCTAATCACAGCTTCTACTGGATAATGAACTTGATTGCCAGTGGTAATATTGCTTGATGAATTAGGTAATTAAAACCAACATAAAAAGTTGGGACTGTAAGACCAAAAAATGAAATGACTCTGACAGAAAAGCATTCAACCGATGATGAGCTGCCATCAGCAAGATTATTCCTATGGACTTGCAATGGCTTATTGCACAGCTTTTTTATGAAGATGGTCCACAAAGATTAAGCTTTTCAGCTGGCACTATGGCAATACTAAGAGTTGAAAAGAACACACCATTGCCGTTACAACATGGATATTGACAGTTGCAGACAAATCAAACTAATAGCAGAAGCAACTATTTGAACAAAGATTACATTTCCAGAACTGGAGGATCCATGGTTTGTCATAACCAGAATTACAAGGTAGAACATAGTGCATATACAAACATTGATTTAGCAATTTAGCCAACAACAATGAGCAAATGTTTGTATCAAAAACCAGAATATCAATAAAATTACATCCTTGTCGTACCAATACGATTGTGCCGTTCACAATAACTTAAATGTGCACCACCACATGCACAACTAGCGGACTATATTTCAACCATGCAACCGACGCTCCTGCTTTTGAATGGCGAGAGACTTGAGTAAATAAGATATGCAACCAGCGACACTTCAAAGCCACCATTACTTCTAGTACTCATGTTAAGCACATCATTAACGCACTGGCAAACACAGCACCAGTATTAAAGAATATCAGAAGAACCTTTGTGTGTCCACCATTTCCGACTATGAGAGCTGCGTACACGTTGGAACCACCGGTGCCAGGCAGCATTTTCGGGGCCTGGTGTGCTGACAATAAGCGACAAGATCAACAAATCATCAAAAATATTGTACGACAAGAAAAGGAAGTGCAGCATGGTGCAAAATAAGCCATCTGATCATTGCTTCGCACACTCACACAGGAAGGAAGGCATCAGGTTTGCCTTCTGTGCTCATCAAGATTCTGCAGATTCCATCAACAAACAGGTGTGTCAATAGACATCTGAGCAAGGAAAGTGATGATTTATGACAGAAAGCCTGAAAAATCACTTACTCCTTGCATGCTGCAGAAGAAGGCCCCATTGTTTCAAGTTCGTTTAGTTCCTCCTGCATGCAGATGGATAACAAAACACAGTAATGATCATATCTGAGTTCTAGGTGGCGTACAACCATTTTAAGAAATCTCCTAGTCCTTGATTTCCTACTCATAAAAGAGAGATAGTATATGCACTTCCACAAACTCCCATACAAACTGGTTTGATGACATGCAGCCTGTGCCCATGCGGTCCTGATACGGTATTAATAATGTGGGTCTGCTTGTCTCCTCTTCACGATATGTTTCTTTGCGTACAGATTAGCAGACATCATGGACCTGTGATGTGTGATGCAGCCTGGTGAATGCATTAACTTGACACTTGTCTATGTCCTGATATTCTTGCCTATGGACATTCAATCATGCTTCTGCACATTAACATTGACATGCTTTTCAAGGCTAACCTATGTTAAAATTCTTATAAAAGATATTGTGTTTGAGGTGGTGAGAGTGCAAGAAAATTAAGAGAAGATGAGCAAAATAAATGAAAAGAAAGAGAATAGAGGGTCGGGTTTGTAAGAATATTTACAAACTCAAACAAGCTCAGCCTTTACAAAAACTTCTTTTCCCCTCTCGAGAACATGACTTTTGCCAGCATGCATCAACTCATTGGTAGATATGTTTCAAATTTCTTCTGATTGTTTTGCCTCTGTTTAAGCAAGCACTGGGCATGAGCATTCTGTTTATATATATAGACCCTGTTGCTAGTGGACAAGACAAGTGCACATCAGGGGTGGGTTGACACAGTAACACAGATGGTTACCTAAGCAATCAATTCGCATTTGGACACCATGTTAAAAAATCAGGTAACCTTTTTTTGGCCCATGATGTTTTGGTCAGTCTGCACACTGGTGCATATCCATGGGACAAACCTGAAATCGTTGAATGCCACATTCAACTCCCTAACTCCAATGGCAACTATTAAACCCTCTATATATTATATAAGCATCCATTTTCAGAAACAAAGAAAATATTATGAGAAATATCATATAAAAATATAGTGGCATGATTTCCACAATCAACATGGAACAAACATCTTTTGTTCAATACAATTATTAGTCTAATAAGGGAGCCATAGAAAGGTATGGCACTTTAAATAAGATAATTGGTGGGACTGATTGATAAGAAATTTTTTATCACATTATGGTTAGGATTGGGTTTTCTGAGCATTATGTATTTAGTTAGTGACACAATTGAGGTTCAACATTTTTTTGTCATCAGGCACAAACATGGTATATTGCATTCATTACAAATTTTGGGGCACTTCATATATATCTTCTAAAGATGAATCCAGGAATATGTTTTCCTTAATTGTGGCTATCTTAGACATGTTTTGGTCTTTATAAGGAAAGGAAAGACAGGGTTTCTTTACCAACTTCAGTAATTGAGAGTGTTTATTCAAAACAGAATTAGAAACATAATGAAATGAAAAATAATATCTAGCAGACTAAGATTCTGTTAACATATCTGATGACTGTTCTCACAATGTTGCAATTATTTCAGACACTGCAATATAATCAGTATCCTGCAACTGAATTTTGTTGAGGACTCACTATATGCTATCCATAGTGATTGATCACCTCGCATCCCAGGTATGGTTTTAGTTGTTCCTTTTGTCCCTTTTACTCCCTTTGTTTTCTATTATCTAATGGTGAGTCATAGTAGTATTAAGTTGGTTACAACATACCAAAACATATTTTCTGTCCAAAGTTCAAACTTTTAGAACTCAATCATCTAAAAAGGTCTCAATGGAAATATAATCACAGTTTTACAACAGAATCTTGAGGTGGAGCACATGAATAGAACACTTCTGCCAAGGATTCATTCACTATATGCTATCCGTAGTTACTGATTACCCGTGAGCATATACTATTTGCTCCAAATCATGTAAGTCGTAGGTGTTGTTTATGATTGCCATTGTTGTCCTTCTTGACTCCCTCTGTTGTCTATTCATTAATGGTGAGACATGGAAGTACTAAATTGGCTAGAACATATGAAAAATTCCGTCTTATGTCCAAAGTTTGAATTTTTAGATATCGGAATCATCGAAAAACTGTCCCAGTGGCAGATCTGACGGAACTTGTGGCGGAAGCTACGGTTCAAGCAGCATCATATCTCGATCAGCATTTAATAATGAATCAAAATTAACTTTTTCCCCTCTTTTTTTTCTTTTATTTGATGAATCACTCATCAATGCGATCAATTAATGACGCTTCAAGAGAAAGATCCCAAGCGGGAGAATAATTGGGGTAGGCATGGAGGAGGAAGGGAAGAAGAGGACCTGGAGGTACTGGATCTCTTGATTGAGCCGGGAAATGGCGGCCGAGAGGCGGTGCTTCCCCAAGAAATTGCCATTCCGCGTCGACAGATGCAGAGACGGCGGTCCCCGCGCCTCCATCTCCGCTCCCTCTCCGTTCGTCGTCATCCTCTCTCTCTCTCTCTCTCTCTCACACACACTCTCACTGTCACTCTCGACAATATTTAGAAGAAGACCGAGGGAAGGATATGTTATTTTAGGTAAATGTCAAAAACATATTCGCTATAAGACCATAAAAAAAGATGGATTGCAAGCAGACCATTAAAATGCAATATTAATTGATATTAATACTACTATTATTTTTGTAGTACTAACGACGATCAATCATGATTAATCAAAGGATGCTAATAAATCTATTAAAAAATCATTTATTTTTAAATGATAATTTATTTTGCAAAATCATTAAAAATGATAATTTAAGGGTTAAAACTTATCATTAATAAATAAAGAAGAAGATGGATGGCTGGGATTTAATTTGTGGAAATGTCAAATGCAAAGTGATACTTAGATTATCAACATTATTTATATTTATCTTCCCGAATCTTGATGCCAAAACAACTTGATCAAACGGCATAAAAATAATAAAATTCAGCAAATTAAAGAACGTCGATTCAATAAAAAAAAATCCCTATATTTTATCATTTATTATTTTTATTAAATAATAATATAATTCACGCAAATCACCGGTACATAAAAGGACATGGGAACCGAAACGCCGTCGTTACATTCATACATACCCATCCGATGGTTCGTTCGTCTCTTGGATCGACTGTGGGTCCCGATGTTTCATTCGCCAACACCGCAGGTAGGAAACGGGGGTAAGAAACTTTCGTAAATGAACTATTTTATCTCTGCTTCTAACGTAATTTAAAGCCCTTTTTGGTTCGTCTGTTTCCACCCTTCGCCTTCCTTCTCTGCTGATATAACCTCGGCAGGCCAGAAGAAAGGGAGAGACAGAGAGAGGGTCATGGAGGATGCATTGGAGGCACAGATCACGGTGGACAGCGGCGGAGAAGCCGAATGCGATGAGAGCAACAGCAACAGGCAGTAAGTTGTATTAGTACTGTTATTGCAGGCTCTTTTCCTTCCTTTCGTTGAGCAATTTCGAAGGCGAAAGCAACATGATAGGGATGGTTTCGATCACAAGAAACTGTACAAAAGCTCTCTTTATCTGTTAGCTATATTGGGATTCTGCCCTCAGTGGCGGATTTGGTACAAAGGGATCAACTTTTGCTCACTTGCTTGGTGTTTACGTCCTTCGAGGAACTCGGCTGTGCGGATGCCGGCAACGCCGAACGCCGTCGCCCCCACGCAGCTCACCATCCTCTACGATGGAGCTGTCAATGTCTACGACGGAGTTCCCCCTGAAAAGGTCGCTACTTGGCCTCTTTCCTTTATTTTCTCCGTTATTTCGTGTGATCTTGCGGCTCTACAACTGAGTCGCTCTGTTGGATGATGAGACAGGCGCAGGCGATAATGCTCGTTGCTGCTGCCGCTGCAACCACAGCAGCGAATGGTCCGAGTAAGGTCGGCCGGACCGACACAGCGAGTACGGCTGCGGCGACGGTGCTCACGAGATCTCTGTCATTGCAGATCCCCCCTGCAAACTACGAGTTGGTTGGTGTTCTTTCTCGCTTGCATTGGCTTGCCTGTGATCATGCAAAGGTCGTACCTTTCTTTCCACCTTGAGATTTCTAATCTAGCGTTCGGGGATTCGCCTGTTGGCAGAGCTTCCCATCGCGAGGAGGCATTCGCTCCAGTGTTTGTTGGTGAAGCACCGCGACAGGTGCATCCTTTCCTTCCCTCCATGGTTCAATCACCGAGCAATATGAACTGCTACATGTCCTTTATTGAGCCTGTTATGCTTAATTTGCACGTTTACTATATCGCTTCAACTTTGTTTCTGCCATGATTGTTCCTGGTCTCACAGGTTAATTATGTTGATCAGGTTGGATTACTGTCAAGCCTCTGCGATCACCTTAACCTATTGAGGATAGGATTACTGTCATGAACATTGTGCTACATGGTGGTTATGCAATGCAATGCCTCTCTTGTTTCTCAGAAGATGAGTTCGCAAGTTATGATCAAACATGAAATTTAGGCTTGAGATCATATCAGCATGGTAGAAACTTTGGTCTGGGCTAACACTTGTTCTACCTCGCCATGACAGGATTTGTTGCTGTAACATAAGAGTGCAGCAGAAGTGGGAAGCCATGAGCGTGCCCCCAAGCTCTCTTATGTAGTCCCGTCGTCTCCATGGATGTACCAGCAGAGGAGCATGGTGGCGCACCGGCGCAGAATGTGGATCCTGGCCCGCTGCTCCTTCACGAGCGACGCGCACCTGCCGGTGAACCCTCTCCTTCCCTCCATCGGCGGGGAAATCCAGTGCTCCCTGTCCTCCATTGCAGATACGAGTCGATCGGAGAGATGCCCTGAGCAGCTCAAGTTCATGTGGCTGCGTATTTATATCCATGGGAGTCCCCCCACTTGGGATAAGTTGAAGCCAGAGAACAGGTGGGGCCGTTCATGGTGTGCATAGGAATGTGGAGCATGAGGATTAGGCTCAGGCTTCTTCCTCTCCATTCTTAGTTACCGTAGAGGGTCTTATCCTCATTGGAGTGCGGCCATGGAAGATGAAGCAGCATGGTGGACCAGGCGCCTCTGCAACAGTTCGCAGCATCTTTCAACTTGTATCTAACAAGGTGATCAGGACAACAGTGTTAGAAACAGTATGTTTGCACGCCAATTCCATTGGAAGTTTGTAGATGAACTACTTTAAGACTATAGTCCATGAAATGATAAGAAAAAAGAAGAATGAAGGACAAAATGTACAGATACGACATACCTAAATTAATGTAGGTGACCAGCATTCTCTCACTTCCGATGAGGGAGTTGAATCCTCTTGTAAGTGAGTGATAGCAATTATAACATTACAAGATTTAGTGAGAGGCTCTTCGTGCTGGGCACTCTTTACAGCCATGGCCGAAGCTTCGCTAACAAACAGACCGATGGCAACTTTGCTTTTGTTCCCTTGTCAGCTAGTACACTTGGAGCATGTGCTTTGCTCCGTCGCTAAACCCACCTCTCCAGCCATCCCCCACGTCATGGGGCGCCACCGCCGAATTGGATGGCCAAGTCCCGTTGTTTTCGACTTGCCCTTCTCTCGAAGCTACTTGGATGTCTCAATCGTGATGGCCGAAAATGATACATGTCTTTCTATGATGGTCCTTTCAAACTATGCTTTTAGTCATTAATGCAGAATATGATGCATAATAAAAGTGTCTAATCTTAATATAAGCTAACGTACTTGCGGTCGATGTCCCACAGGTATTTGTGTAGATGTCTCAACATATTGCATTCTGATGACAAAAGATTGGGTTGTAGTCCAACTCGAATCCAAGTTCGTGGCAGCGTTTGATTTACAAACCCTAATCCACAAGCAGATTATATTTGTATCTTAGTTATTGAGCATAACTCAGTTCTGATTCCTCGCTAAACATGATTGTGTTCACGAGAGAGGTTTGACAAAGGCGCCACCAAATCGGACAGACTACTTCTGTGACCACTGTGGTCTTATTAGGTTAGATGGATCCAAACCCTGGGAAGGCCGAAAGGAAACACCAAAAGTTGACACGTTGCCGCGTTGTCGTCTCGCGCATCCCTGTCGGCCCTGCAACACGAGATCAGCATCCGCTCTATCATCAGCGTGTGGCACCATCGATCATCGGACGACTGCACGACTCCTAAAGATAACGCATACATATATATATATGGAATACCGGTGTAGCGCTTCCTTGCTTGGATTTCCATGGCTTCTGTCGGTTCAGCACTGGTAACCTGTCTCCTCTTCCTTCTAATGTCCTCCTCCAATGCCTCCGCCACTTCTATGAACGCGAGCTCCGCCAAGTCCAGGATTCAGTCTCTGTGCCAGACCACCCCGTACCCGGCCGCCTGCCTCGACTCCCTGAAGCTGTCCGTCTCCATCACCATCAACCCCTCTATCCTCTCCCTGGCCCTCCGCTCCCTCCAGGCCGCCATCTCCCAGGCGACCAAGCTCTCCTCTCTGCTCTCCTCCGCTGGCCGAGACGGCGCCCTAGTCGAGTCCCAGCGCAGCTCCCTCAGGGACTGCCAGGACCTGCACCAGATCACCGCTGCCTCCCTCCAGCGCTCGGCCGGTCTAGTCGAGCCCGATGCCCGCAAGCTGGCCGACGCCCGGGCCTACCTCTCCGCCGCGCTCACCAACAGAGCCACCTGCCTCGAGGGCCTCGCCGGAGCCCGGGGCCCGCTCAAGGACACGCTCGTCGACTCCTGGGTCGCCGCATACGCCCACGTCAGCAACTCCCTCTCCCTCGTCACCCGCTCCGGGGACCGCAAGGGGCGGCGTCTCTCCTCCTCCTCCTCCTACAACCGCCGCGGCAGCGAGGGCAGGGGGTTCCCGGCGTGGGTACGGCGCAGGGAGCGGCGGTTGCTGCAGGACGGCCACTATGGCGAGGTCGACCCGGCTTCGGTGGTCACAGTGGCACCGGACGGTACGGGGAACTTCACGACGGTGGCCGAGGCGGTGGCCTGGGCGCCGAGCTACTACGACGGCCGCACCATCATCCTGGTGCGGGCGGGGGTGTACGAGGAGAACGTGGAGATCCCAGGCGATAAGACCAACATCGTCCTTATCGGCGACGGCAGAGACGTCACCGTCATCAGAGGGCATCGAAGCGTCGGCGACGGCTGGACCACCTTCGCATCAGCCACCGTAGGTGAGATCATTTGTTATCCCGTCCCAAATCTACCTTTTTTCACCAAACCGTACTTTGCGCTCTCATTGCTCAATCCACTTGCCTGTGCACGGTGTAATCAAATATATTCATATCATGTTGGATTAGTTTTGACCTAAGTATTAAGGATCCCGACAGTTCATACAAATAATTCTCCTACTAATAAATGCATCGCTGACATGACATACATGTTCATAAATTATTAGTTCTAGTATTAAGTTTATCGACAAGAAAATAGAGCTATTATATGCTTTGCATTGTGAGGACATTAGCTGCATCACGAGGTGGATCAAGTGGTCCAATACTTCTGTAAGAAGCGCAACATAACATTTGCTGTTTCATGTGCCAACGCATGTAAGAGTGCTTTGTGAACCACTCGGCAACCTGTCTCGATCACAGATGAGATGTCAGAGCACCATCACAAACGACGTAGATCAACAGATTCTTCCTCCTCCTTTTCTCGACTATAATAAAGCTTGCAAATCTTTGACCTGCAGCGGTATCCGGTCAAGGATTCATGGCGCGAGACATCGCGTTTCAGAACGTGGCCGGCCCGGCGAAGGGCCAGGCTGTGGCCCTCCGAGTGAACGCCGACCTGGTGGCACTGTACCGATGTGCCATCGACGGACACCAGGACACGCTCTACGTCCACTCCTTCCGGCAGTTCTACCGGGAGTGCGACATCTTCGGCACCGTCGACTTCATCCTCGGCAACGCCGCCGTCGTCTTCCAAGGCTGCAACATCGTGGCCAAGAGGCCCGCCTCGGGGCAGTACAACGTGATCACAGCGCAGTCCAGAGACGACCCGAACGAGGACACCGGCATCGCGATACAGAACTGCACCATTCTGGCGTCCGACGAGCTTGCTTCCGGCAACCAGGTGGAGGTAAAGACCTTCTTGGGCAGGCCGTGGGCTATCTACTCGACGACGGTGTACATGGAGTCGTACATGGACGGCCACGTGGATCCGGCGGGGTGGGTGGAGTGGTCCGGCGACCAAGGGCTGGACACGTTGTATTATGGAGAGTACATGAACAGCGGGCCGGGCTCGGCCACCGACAGCCGTGTCACCTGGCCTGGTTACCACGTGATGGACTATGATGATGCCTACAGCTTCACGGTCTCACAGTTCATCGACGGCGACGAGTGGCTGGAATCTACCGCATTCCCTTACGATAATGGTATTTGATTCTTTGGCCCAGTTGGGGTCTCGTTCACCTGTAAATGACGTATCTATCGCAACAATTCGTGATTGTATGGGAGCACTGCGTTTGAACTCTATCATCCAATATGAACCACTTAAGGATTAATATTGGAAACAAGACATGGAAAGATAATTTCCCAATGAGTGCAAGTAAAACCATGAGTGGGCAGCAACTGATACCTAAAGTGATCAACATGCAGAAGAAACGAACGATACATACGATCATGCAGATGCTCCGTTACATACCCCCATCGCATAATGATCATGTTCCGTATCTTCTCTCAAAAAAATACCATAAAATGCGGTGCAACGTAGAGTTGTTTTATGTGATTATTGACCGAAGAGACCCAAGCGAACAGGGGTGTTTGTTTTTGTGATCCAATCATCTCCCTGAATGAACGCTTGGGTGGTGTAGGTATTGGCCTCATCCCGGCTGATGACCTTGACGCCCGGCCACTTGACCCGCTTGGAAGTGTCGGCGCCGCCACCCTTGTTGTTGTACTCTTTGTAGGACAATGTCTTCAAGGCGAAGTCGCCTTCCCACGGCATGTAGCCGTCGGGGCTGATGAAGTCGCCGATATCGGACTCCATGATGACGGTGTGGGAGAACTCCTTCCAGGGGCGGCCGAGGTAGCTGGAAATCTTGGCGACGTCCGGGACGAGGCTGTCGTCGGGGACGATGCGGCAGTTGTGGATGACGTAGCCGGTGGACTCGTGGCGGATGTCGCGGCCCTGGGCGAGGACGATGTTCTGCTGGTTGTCGAGGGGGCGGCGGACGGTCAAGATGCAGTTCTGGAACACGGCGGCGGCGTCGCCGAAGATGAAGTCGACGGTGCCGAGGATGAGGCAGCCGCGGTAGAACTGGCGGTGGGAGTGGGTGTAGAGCGTGTCCTGGTAGGCCTCCATGCGGCAGTTGAGGAAGATGGCGCGGTCGGACTGGACGCGGAGGGCCACCGCCTGGTGCTTGATGGCGCCCGCCGTGTTCTGGAACCCGATGGCCACGGCCATGAACCCATCCCCGATCGCAGCTGCCAAACAACCAGTTATCCTCATCAACCACCGTTAAACATAACAGAGCCATTGCATTAGTGGATCTGGTCATCTCAGCCTACCAAATGTTGCACTTTGGAAGGTTTTCGTGCCGTCAACGAAGTTCTTGCTTCCCGTAACAATCGTCTTCCTTGAACCATCACCATACATAGTGACGTTTATCATGTTCTTATCGACCACCACCTGCTCCTCGTACACTCCCGCCTTGACGTATATTACATACCTTCAAAATATAAGAGAAATCACGGTAAGCCAAGTGGAGTGGCTTTGTGGACACCGTCGGGTTTGATCAAGAACATACCTTCCTTCATATTTCATTGGGATTTTAGCAAGTGCATCGGAGATGGTGGTGAAATCTCCACTTCCATCCTTAGCGACCGTGACATTGGGCGTTAATTGCTTGGCCGCACGTCCCAGGAGAATCCTATGGTCGCCGTCGGAAACCCACGAAGGAACACCGTCTTCACGAAAGGCCGGTTCAGGCTTTGCCGCAAGGAGACGGCGATTGAGGCCAGGGATGTGGAGAGACAGGAAGGAGTGCAAGCTTCCGACGACGGCCAGAGCGTTGCTCGTCAACTGCTTGGCCGTGTTCATGGCAGTCTGCATCTTGGATTTCATTTCCCCATCAGGGAATCCGTCGATGCACGTCTGCTGGTATGCGGAGACAGCGCTCAGCCAATTCTTCAGCTCATGGACTTGCTTGGGAAGCTGGTTCAGGTTGTGTGCATCGATGGTGCCCAACGTGCGCGCTAGCTCATCCACGGCGTACTGGTGCATCTCCTTGCAGGAATCGACTGCACTCTTCACCTCCGGGTCGTCGGACTCGATCGAATCCACCCGGTTGAAGGCCTTGCCCACCTCGTCGACGAGACTGGAGACGGCGGCCCTGACGAGGTCCTTGGGCGACGAGCTGGAGTTGGCGTACGTCGTCAGGCTCGACTCGCAGGCGCTCCTGTAGTCAGTCGGTGAACATATCACCTGAACGGCCGACGAGGCGCGAGACCCCTTAGTGGAGGAAGAGCCGCTGGAAGAAGAAGTAGCAGTAGTAGTCGTGGTCGACCGGTTGGGTTGCTTGGAATAGTAGACAAATGCGGTGGCGCCGACGACCGCAAGGATCAGCACGACGGACACGGTCGCGCCGGCAATCATGAGGAGCTTCCGCCTCCTCTGCTGCCTCTCCGCCCTCCGGCGCTCCGAGAGGTACCCAAAGTCCTGAAAGGCAGACATTGCGGGGTTTGCAGGGGGGGTCCCAGGACTCCTCCCTCCCTTCCTTTCTTTCGTCCTCCCTTCCTCTCTGCCTTGTGGCGATGTGCAAGGCAGAGGGGAAGACGGAGAAAGGTAGATGCAGAGAAGCCAGGCCGGGAGCTTTATTAGTGCAGGTCGCTCCTCCTGGGAAAGGAAGGGTGGGGAGGGGTTTGAGGCGGAAGTTTGTCAGGGTCATACGGTAACAGCGGTCAACGGACATTCTAACTGTCGCTCCATCTTTCCCGCCAAATCAATAGCCGTTGCAACGAGTTCGGGTTTGACCAAGATGATCAAAATGGATCGGACTATCGAATCCAAAATGTCCGAAAACCGAATTGAATCGAGTGCAGCGAGTCCCAATTTGGCTCATCTGTGGCCGCACCCAATCGAAATGTGGCTCGTAGAACCGCGAGCTTCCAAGTGCCCCTGATTCACGCGTGGATTCGAACTACACCATGATTCTGCCAACAGATTTCTCGGTAGTACGACTCACAATGCATGTTATGGTGAACATAGAATGGCTTTGACGGAAGACACAAGTGTTGGAATCCCTGTGCCCTCCGTTTCCATTCACTTTCCTCCATTACGCGTCGCAGTTCCGAGCTAGCAATAGCAATGGACACCGTCAGGAGCTTCAAAGGCTACGAGAAGGTGAGCGAGATCGCGGGCCGACAGTTCCGCCGCACGACGCAGAGGCGTCTCGTCCTCATAGCCTCCGCCGCCGTCGTCCTCCTCGTTACCATCATCGCCGGCGGCGTCGCCACCTCGAGCGGGAGGCCGCCCTCGCCCACGTCCGTGTCGGATTCCATCAAGGCCGTGTGCCGCGCGACGCCCTACCCGAACTCCTGCTTCTCCAGCATCTCCTCTGCCAGAGACTCTAGCGTCACCGCCGAGATCTTCAAGCTCTCTCTCTCTCTCTCTCTCAACCTTGGCGGGATCGTTCGAGTTCCCCCCCTGACTGCAAGGAGCTGTTCGACAGCGCGATCGACCGGCTCAACGACTCGATCTCGCTGATGCAGTCGGCGCCGGTCGAGCCGCTGTTGAAGGCCTCCAAGATCGACGATCTGAGTGGTCACGGACCAGGAGACGTGCCTCGACGGGTTCGAGGGCACCAGCGACGAGCTGAGGGGGAAGATGGAGGCGGCCAAGGTGAACTGTTCCACGCAGTACACCAGCAACAGCTTGGCCATTGCGGCAGGGATAATGGGCATCACGGAGAAGCTAAATTTACCGCTACACCGGAAGCTGCTGTCGTCGGTGGCTTCCACTGCTCGATATCCTCCGTGGATCACAAGAGCGCAGAGACGAGCGTGCACTCCCTAAGTTAGCTCGGTCTAAAGTTACGAATGATGCACACCAGAGGAAAATGTTTGCAATGGGCCAATTGGTTGTCAGACTTCATCCAATGCTCAGACCCACAACAGTAAAGCCTTTCTTTGGGGTGGCTTTGGGCAATAGTTCTGAAGCCCACACTCCTTGGAATACTTGTCAATGTTATCAATGTCAAAACGTTGACCAAAGTCACTAATAATTAGATGGTGATGTCAGTCACTTTTTAGAGACAATGCGTGACAGAGTGGGGGGAATGGAATTTGGACACCATCAACAAAAGTCACAATTTTTTTCCTTTTCGGACACAGTTTGTGGATTAATGTAGGGACTGAAACTGGCCACAGCAACAGAGGTTGACTCGATGTTGAGGAGAGACTTTAGTCATGTTTTGTCAGATACTTTAAATTTTTAATATATTATTCGAAATATGTTACAAAATAGTGAATCAAAATTTGAGTGAAAATATTTAAAGAAAATGAAGATATATGACTTTCAATTTGTTCACAATCAAATGAGTTATGTTGAGAATTTAATAAAAATATTTATTTGTGAAATTGATATCTGATTTAATCTTTATTTATTCTTATCATTTTGATTCAGACTCATCTATTTAAATTCTCAACATTGGATGAATGGCATTGATCCATGGCACATAGTTTGTCTCTCTGACCACATCCTATTCATGGCAACATCTCTGTCATGGCCCCTTCAACCCCAAAGTGATCTACTCTGCCATGGCCCCTTCAACCCCACTGCACTTCTTTTCCTGAAACCATTGCACATGGAGTGGCCAGCCACAAAATTCAAAGGGTTAGGTTGCTGGTCTATTTTGGACGACCTAAACTAAACAAAGCTCGCAAGCGTCTCATAGCAGAAATGCTTCCCAGATGCAGAATGATTCAAGATCCAAAATGTTTATAGTCATCATGTAAAACAGGCATGTTTCTTCGATGTGATTAACCTTGTCCAGCCCATCCAAGCTGTTGTTCTCCACTTCCCTCTTCTGCTCTTTTAAGAGAAGAAAGTGATTTCGCTTGGAACAGAGCAGTACTTGGAACTGAGCAGCCAGAGGTCCTGTCATGTCGTTGCCAGTCTAGTGGCCATGACAGATGATCTGCATGGCCATGAACAGGTGCTTTCGCTTGTGATAATCCAGACTAAGTAGTTTCTTCATACTCCTACTGCACACTTCTGGGGCCTATCCATTGCCATGTACCAACCAAAGGTCTTGTCATGCATATTGCCAGTCCACCGGCCATGAGGTAGCTGTTATCAGTCCTGATCATGCAATTTATCTTAGAAAGCTAAGACATTCACCAAGTGTGAAGTCTTGTTGTATGCCCAAGACGTGGGACTCATGTGTTGCTGCTGATCCGGCATTACGAGGGATCATCACAGTGTGAGTTACTGGG